TAGCCCAGGTCCAGCTCAACCCCACCCTATCACTATAAACGCCTCAGAGCCTGGAAAACTCCACACACACACACACACACACACGCTCTAAATACAGCTCAAAGTGGAAAAATCCTGGATAAAGTGTTAAGGAACGGTCCGGAGAAGGACTAAAAGGTTTCTAAGGCCGAAATTAGATACACAGGAAATATTCACATTTTCCGGTTTATACTGTAGCTAAACACTGGCTTTTTTTCTCATTCGGTGTCTTTAAAGTGACCCACAATATTTAGATGCTTTCCTTGTGCTGTGATCTCACGCGAAAGCCACCCAGTGCTGAAGTCGTTGATGAAAATCACAGATCCTGCTCAAACTGTCAGGGCTTTGATTTGTTGGTAGTCAAAATCTAGATGAATTTATACAGCTTTGTTATGAGTGAGTCTCCGTACATGTCTAGGTCACTTGTTACCCTTGGGAGGAGAAAAAAAAACAAAACAAGAAATTATTTTTAGCATTAACAAAATTACGCCTGTTTTTCAGACCATTAAGATTGTTTGCAGTGTGACACATTTTCCACCAAATTCTCATTACTGTAATAGGAAAACAGTGTGTTATTTAAATAAATTTAAGTAATTAATTAATTATTATCATTATTATTAATAATTTGTATTTTATTATTTTATTTATTTAAACAAAACAAGTAATTATATTTAGCATCAACAAAATAAGCCTTTTTTTACCACATTTTCTCCTCCAAATTCTCATTACTATATTGCAAGAATAATATATTATTTAAATGAATTGAAGTAATTAATTTACACATGTTTTGACTGTAAATGGTTTAATAATAATCATCATACAATTATAAAAACAGTTCTTATTAATTAAAAAAACATGAAATTATATTTTGCATTACACAAGAATTTGTCACATTGCAAAAAGACTAATTAAAGTAATTGTGCAATGCAACAATAATATATTATTTAAATAAGTTGAACTAATTAATTTACTCCTGATGACCAATTAAAATAATAATAATAATAATAATAATAATAGTATTATTATTATTATGGTTTTTATATTTTTAATTATATAATAATTATATTATTATTATTTTCATCATTACATTTTTAATTGTACCACTATTATTTTATTTGTTGTAATTATTAATAAGTGTTATTTTATTTATTAAATTATTATATTGTTTATTAAATGTGTACTTATTTTTTTAAGTGTTCTGAAGAATAAGACTTTGGTTATTTTAATGTTTTTTTAATTATATAATAATTAGAATTTTAGAATTATATTTTAATAATGACATATTTATTTATTAAGAGGTATTATTTTATTTATTAAGTTAATTTTTTCTGAGGCATAAGACTTTGGTTAGCTTGAGTCAATGGTCTGGACGTCTATAAAGGTTTATTATTTTTGGTTCTGTAGTTGTTTCCAGGATACGAGGATGTTTTCTCTCAGTGTTGTGATGTCAGATCCCAGGTGAGGCGCTCAGACTGCGTGACGGTGTTTAAGGACGGCACGATACAGTCTAGAAACTTCCTCCATCCTCAGTTTCTCCCTTCCTCTCCCTGTGTGGATCTTATGCTTGTCTCTTCGGCCCACAAGAGCGTCTGAAATATAAACAGCATTTGCTGTTCTGCAGTTTATCTTGGGCTTAAAACTGCCTCATTGACTTGATTCAGTGCTTTGGTTCGGATAACAGTAGTTGCTGATTGAACGGGGATAAAGCCGCTCTTTTTATCTACCTAAGCAAGACATACGCTAGCGTTGTGAAATGAAAATATTATCCTTAAACCCTGCCCACGTTAGTGAAGTCGGTGTGTGCGGCCCGAGGGCCGAGTACATGCAACAAAAGAAAGCACAAAATGTTTTCATATAAAACACATCGTACTTTGGTTACAACCCTAATTAGATTTCACCAGCCGTCTGCTGAATCAATTCACAATCATAATTGTGTCGGTTAACCATGTAACAATAACTTTGTGGATTTTGTGATGTTTCAAATTTAGAATCATTACATGTAAACCTGATGCCACCATGAAGTGAGTAAAACCAAATAGTTCTGTTGTTTTAAGTTACAAGCATCACTGTCATTTATTTATATTTTTATACAAGGTTTAGTGATTTGTAGAGGTCCAGACCACTGAAGAAAATAATATAATATTACATAAATTTATAATAACATTGTTTTTTTGTGTGTGCGTGTATTTTATATATATATATACTGTATGTATGTATGTATGAAAATAATAAAACAATTTTAATTTAATTATTTTATTCAAAATAATACAAATATTATTATAAAAGTTTTATATAGTTTGTTTTTTAAATAAGAAATAAAATATTACTTTAAAAATAAAATATATAAATATATTTTAATATGTGTGTGTGTGTGTTGATCATTTTATATTTTTATTATTTTATTGTTATTTCATTATTATTTTATTTACTAAAATATAAATAAAATAATACATATCAAATATAAAATCTAGTTAGCCATTACTCTATTACCTTCAACAGCAGCATTAATTTTACTAAATGAATAGATTTAAATATAGCCTAAAGAAATGTCTAAAAAAACATTTAATCATTAGCTTGTGTCCTAGTTGACCTCAAGCAAAAAGGAAGGAGGAGGAGCGACTTAATGCGCTTTGATGAAAGATTATGAAGACTTTTTTCCTGTAGAATAACGTGCATATGAGTTATCGTTTAAATTAAGACCAGGATTGTGTAATGAAAATGTAAACTGGTTCATGTTCATTTTAAATATTATTTTTTCTTTAAACTGCTTCTAGCTAGTCGCTCTGTCTCTGTTGCTGTACTGTATGGTGTTGGTCGTCTGGCCCCGGGTCCCTGTGGACGAGATGTTTACTGTAAGCATCTCTGATCTCTGCACTGTATTTAAACACTGATTGTTTTCTGGAATCAGGACTGTCAAATCAATGTGTTTACATCAGTCACATTGCTCTCTCTGTTTCTAAGCAAATACGGGCAGCTGGCGAGATGGAAAGAGCACCACCGCAGGCGCGCTCACAACCCAACATCTCTATACAAACATTCAGCTTATTTTTGCAAACAGATGATGCTGTCTGCCCGCTGCCCACTTAGATGCTAGAAAGAGAAGGGATGCAATTCTAATCGTGATGCCGAGGTCGCTTTAGCTGGTCAAAGTCAAATGAAGAGGGAGGATTCATTCAAATCCAGCAGCATGATTGTGGACCTTATTTTGGAGATATTGAGTAATATTAGCACTTCTATAAAATATATCAAACTGTAAAAGCTAGGAAATAAGCCAAATTGTCTAATAAGTAATGTACAGGTTCATTGTTGTGAAGTAAACCGGCAGGATGCTCAGGACCCCAACATGATTCTCGTATCAATCTGAACAGGACTATTTTTATTTTTACAAATTTGTAATACATCGGAATAATGATCAGAATTGAATATTCCAGAGAGATGCATGATAAATATACTTTGTGATGTCAAAATACATTTTCATGTCCACTAATGGCATTGCTAGAAACGTATTAAGTGTATCAGTGTGTCAAATGTATTCGTTAAATACCCATATTGAAAAGAAGACATTGGGATGGCAAAAATGGTCCTCTACTGATTGCAGTTCAGTCTGAAGCATCTACACTTTCTGTTTTGTTTGATTTTTTTATTTTACTTTATTTTTATTTATCTATTTTTTATTTTATTATTAAAGCTTTGTGTTGTCATACTAGTGTCCTAGTCTGAGCAGAGATGCAAAACAAGTGGAATATATTTTTATTTATAAAAAAAATATATATTTATTTTTATTTTAAAGGCTCTGTGTTATCTTGCTACTCCTGGTATGAGCTGAAATGCCAAACAAGTGGGATACATTAAACTATTTCATTTTATTTAATTTTCACTTTAAATAAATTTGGAATTCAAATTTCATTTTAATAATTGTATTTGTTTTTTATCTGAGCTGAAATGCTTTGTAACTAAGCAAGTGGAATAAATGACAACACTGGAGTAAATTATGGTTTTTCCTCTGGGAGGTGTTTGGATTCAAATGGATTGAAGTGAAAGAAGTAGAAAAAAACAGGAACACAATAAAAGTTAATTGAAGACGGTCACAGTTGAGACTTCAATAACCAGATGCACGGAGCCGGAGTTTGAGCACTAGGTGATTCCATAAGTGCTTTATGTGTCTTTGAACCATATGAAGTAAATAAAAATGCAATTAGGCACTAGTTGTAGTATTTTCTTTTCTTTCTTTCTTTTTTAAAATTTTTGCCAGGGTTAAAAATACTTATACTTAATGGATAGTAAGGAACTTTGTGTAGTTTGAAGAGAGGAATCAATAAGCCAAACATATAAAAGCCAATGATAGAAACTCTTCTCAAAAATGAAAACTAAGTTAGACATAACTTGTCACTTATCACTTCATGAAGAAAATGGCTTATTGTTTTCCCTAGTGAAGTAAGTGTAAATCATTTGTCATGGTTCTTTGTGAAATGCAGTTTATAGCCAGACGTGTTGCTTGATGAAGCCTCTTCCGTCGAAAGTGTTGAGCTTCTCATGGAAGTTCCCATCTTCTCCTCTTTTAAAACCGAGAGTCTGTGGCCGTCCGGTAGTTTGTGCTACTATTGGATGAAACCGCTGTGTCGATATTAAGCACACTGCGATGTGGGAAGCTTTGGCAGATGCAGTGTGGGAAAAACTGTGAATAAAGGCCCTCAGATTTTGTAAATAGCTCTAGCATTGGAAACTCAAGCCATCTATAATGAATGTCAGCTATTGCTATGAATGGCTGATGCCTTTTTATTACCCAACTGAGGGCTTAACTGTGTGTTAATTGCCATTTTATGAACATTTGCTCACAGTTATGGCATTAATAGAGAATCCATTTTAGATTATTTATCTCAACTGAAATAAGGGTTGTGGGTTCGACATGGTGATTGTGAAACATGTTGGTCAGGAGCTTAAATATACTAAGTGCTTGTTTTGCTTGTGTATTTGTCTCTCAGGTTTGCTCTTGGTGATGCTCGCAGACCACTGCACGAGACCGCCGCTCTGGTGGAGGACATAGTGCACACCCAGCTCGTCAACCTCGTGAGTCAATGAAAATACCTGTAGTTACACAATGTCAGAGAGATTTTTATTATTTTTTTCAGAAATTATTTTATTTTGAATTTACAATTTTTATATTTTTTTAGAATAATGTAGTGTATGTAAAGACCATTAAAGTGACCTTTAATATTACTCTCTAATATTACTTTTTCCTGCTGCATGGCCTTGGTTAAAGGGTTAGTTCACTCAAAAATGAAAATTCTGTCATTAATTACTCACCCTCGTGTTGTTTCAAACCCGTAAGACCTTCGTTCATCTTCGGAACACAATTTAAAATATTTTTGATGAAATCTGAGGGCTCTCTGACCCTCCCATAGACAGCAAGGTAACTACCACGATTAAGGTCCAGAAAAGTGCCAAGATGATTCGCTAGCGTTGTGAAATGAAAATATTATCCTTAAACCCTGCCCACGTTAGTGAAGTCGGTGTGTGCGGCCCGAGGGCCGAGTACATGCAACAAAAGAAAGCACAAAATGTTTTCATATAAAACACGTTGTACTTTGGTTACAACCCTAATTAGATTTCACCAGCCGTCTGCTGAATCAATTCACAATCATAATTGCGTTGGTTAACCATGTAACAATAACTTTGTGGATTTTGTGATGTTTCAAATTTAGAATCATTACATGTAAACCTGATGCCACCATGAAGTGAGTAAAACCAAATAGTTCTGTTGTTTTAAGTTACAAGCATCACTGTCATTTATTTATATTTTTATACAAGGTTTAGTGATTTGTAGAGGTCCAGACCACTGAAGAAAATAATATAATATTACATAAATTTATAATAACATTGTTTTTTTGTGTGTGCGTGTATTTTATATATATATACTGTATGTATGTATGTATGTATGAAAATAATAAAACAATTTTAATTTAATTATTTTATTCAAAATAATACAAATATTATTATAAAAGTTTTATATAGTTTGTTTTTTAAATAAGAAATAAAATATTACTTTAAAAATAAAATATATAAATATATTTTAATATGTGTGTGTGTGTGTTGATCATTTTATATTTTTATTATTTTATTGTTATTTCATTATTATTTTATTTACTAAAATATAAATAAAATAATACATATCAAATATAAAATCTAGTTAGCCATTACTCTATTACCTTCAACAGCAGCATTAATTTTACTAAATGAATAGATTTAAATATAGCCTAAAGAAATGTCTAAAAAAAACATTTAATCAGTAGCTTGTGTCCTAGTTGACCTCAAGCAAAAAGGAAGGAGGAGGAGCGACTTAATGCGCTTTGATGAAAGATTATGAAGACTTTTTTCCTGTAGAATAACGTGCATATGAGTTATCGTTTAAATTAAGACCAGGATTGTGTAATGAAAATGTAAACTGGTTCATGTTCATTTTAAATATTATTTTTTCTTTAAACTGCTTCTAGCTAGTCGCTCTGTCTCTGTTGCTGTACTGTATGGTGTTGGTCGTCTGGCCCCGGGTCCCTGTGGACGAGATGTTTACTGTAAGCATCTCTGATCTCTGCACTGTATTTAAACACTGATTGTTTTCTGGAATCAGGACTGTCAAATCAATGTGTTTACATCAGTCACATTGCTCTCTGTTTCTAAGCAAATACGGGCAGCTGGCGAGATGGAAAGAGCACCACCGCAGGCGCGCTCACAACCCAACATCTCTATACAAACATTCAGCTTATTTTTGCAAACAGATGATGCTGTCTGCCCGCTGCCCACTTAGATGCTAGAAAGAGAAGGGATGCAATTCTAATCGTGATGCCGAGGTCGCTTTAGCTGGTCAAAGTCAAATGAAGAGGGAGGATTCATTCAAATCCAGCAGCATGATTGTGGACCTTATTTTGGAGATATTGAGTAATATTAGCATTTATATAAACTATATCAAACTGTAAAAGCTAGGAAATAAGCCAAATTGTCTAATAAGTAATGTACAGGTTCATTGTTGTGAAGTAAACCGGCAGGATGCTCAGGACCCCAACATGATTCTCGTATCAATCTGAACAGGACTATTTTTATTTTTACAAATTTGTAATACATCGGAATAATGATCAGAATTGAATATTCCAGAGAGATGCATGATAAATATACTTTGTGATGTCAAAATACATTTTCATGTCCACTAATGGCATTGCTAGAAACGTATTAAGTGTATCAGTGTGTCAAATGTATTCGTTAAATACCCATATTGAAAAGAAGACATTGGGATGGCAAAAATGGTCCTCTACTGATTGCAGTTCAGTCTGAAGCATCTACACTTTCTGTTTTGTTTGATTTTTTTATTTTACTTTATTTTTATTTATCTATTTTTTATTTTATTATTAAAGCTTTGTGTTGTCATACTAGTGTCCTAGTCTGAGCAGAGATGCAAAACAAGTGGAATATATTTTTATTTATAAAAAAAATATATATTTATTTTTATTTTAAAGGCTCTGTGTTATCTTGCTACTCCTGGTATGAGCTGAAATGCCAAACAAGTGGGATACATTAAACTATTTCATTTTATTTAATTTTCACTTTAAATAAATTTGGAATTCAAATTTCATTTTAATAATTGTATTTGTTTTTTATCTGAGCTGAAATGCTTTGTAACTAAGCAAGTGGAATAAATGACAACACTGGAGTAAATTATGGTTTTTCCTCTGGGAGGTGTTTGGATTCAAATGGATTGAAGTGAAAGAAGTAGAAAAAAACAGGAACACAATAAAAGTTAATTGAAGACGGTCACAGTTGAGACTTCAATAACCAGATGCACGGAGCCGGAGTTTGAGCACTAGGTGATTCCATAAGTGCTTTATGTGTCTTTGAACCATATGAAGTAAATAAAAATGCAATTAGGCACTAGTTGTAGTATTTTCTTTTCTTTCTTTCTTTTTTAAAATTTTTGCCAGGGTTAAAAATACTTATACTTAATGGATAGTAAGGAACTTTGTGTAGTTTGAAGAGAGGAATCAATAAGCCAAACATATAAAAGCCAATGATAGAAACTCTTCTCAAAAATGAAAACTAAGTTAGACATAACTTGTCACTTATCACTTCATGAAGAAAATGGCTTATTGTTTTCCCTAGTGAAGTAAGTGTAAATCATTTGTCATGGTTCTTTGTGAAATGCAGTTTATAGCCAGACGTGTTGCTTGATGAAGCCTCTTCCGTCGAAAGTGTTGAGCTTCTCATGGAAGTTCCCATCTTCTCCTCTTTTAAAACCGAGAGTCTGTGGCCGTCCGGTAGTTTGTGCTACTATTGGATGAAACCGCTGTGTCGATATTAAGCACACTGCGATGTGGGAAGCTTTGGCAGATGCAGTGTGGGAAAAACTGTGAATAAAGGCCCTCAGATTTTGTAAATAGCTCTAGCATTGGAAACTCAAGCCATCTATAATGAATGTCAGCTATTGCTATGAATGGCTGATGCCTTTTTATTACCCAACTGAGGGCTTAACTGTGTGTTAATTGCCATTTTATGAACATTTGCTCACAGTTATGGCATTAATAGAGAATCCATTTTAGATTATTTATCTCAACTGAAATAAGGGTTGTGGGTTCGACATGGTGATTGTGAAACATGTTGGTCAGGAGCTTAAATATACTAAGTGCTTGTTTTGCTTGTGTATTTGTCTCTCAGGTTTGCTCTTGGTGATGCTCGCAGACCACTGCACGAGACCGCCGCTCTGGTGGAGGACATAGTGCACACCCAGCTCGTCAACCTCGTGAGTCAATGAAAATACCTGTAGTTACACAATGTCAGAGAGATTTTTATTATTTTTTTCAGAAATTATTTTATTTTGAATTTACAATTTTTATATTTTTTTAGAATAATGTAGTGTATGTAAAGACCATTAAAGTGACCTTTAATATTACTCTCTAATATTACTTTTTCCTGCTGCATGGCCTTGGTTAAAGGGTTAGTTCACTCAAAAATGAAAATTCTGTCATTAATTACTCACCCTCGTGTTGTTTCAAACCCGTAAGACCTTCGTTCATCTTCGGAACACAATTTAAGATATTTTTGATGAAATCTGAGGGCTCTCTGACCCTCCCATAGACAGCAAGGTAACTACCACGATTAAGGTCCAGAAAAGTGCCAAGATGATTGACAAAGTAGTCCGTGTGTCACAAGAGGTTCAACTGTAAAGTTACGAAGCTACGAGAATACTTTTTTTGCGCAAAGAAAACTAAATTAATGACTTTATTCCACATTTTTGTCTTTACTGCGTCACTTGTGAATGCGTGTTCACGACAAGTTTTTTTGTTCACAACATTATTTTTGATTTCACACGGACTACTTTGTCGATCATCTTGGCACTTTTCTGGACCTTGAACGTGGTAGTTACCTTGCTGTCTATGGGAGGGTCAGAGAGCCCTCAGATTTCATCAAAAATATCTTAAATTGTGTTCCGAAGATGAACGTAGGTCTTATGGGTTTGGAACAACACGCAAGACAATACATATTTTTGAATGTAGTGTGTGTTATTTTAAAGGGAAAAAATTTGCACAATAAGACTATTAAAGCACCCTTTAATATTACTTTCTAATTTTAATATTCCCTGCTGCATGGCCTTGGTTATGCCAGCAAAAAAGTTGTTTAGGAGATGGAGAAGTTTTATTTGATTTTTATTTCGCTTAATTTATGAAAACAATTTTTTCTCTAGAATAACATTTTGTATGTTCTTTTAAAGAAATAAAGGGCACAATAAGACCATTAAAGTGACCTTTTTTAAACAAAGTGCATGTATTTAGATTTCACACTCTTAATTTCAATATCAAGTGTATAGTTGATCGTAATAGCTTATGGCTGCATGTATTAATGCCAGTAATAATGATCAAAGGTCATTTGGGTTCAAGTGTATGCGCTGATAAGAGTTTAAGGTATCTATCATGACACATTCTTGTGCACATGTTCGGCTTGAGACATTTGCATCTGGAAAAGGGTTTTAAAGCAATCTGTAATTAAGTATAAATAGCATCATCAGAGACGGCCCAAACGGGAACACC